ATTAGGAATGGTAACATCAGTCAGCTGGGCATGTACATATATTTTTAGAAGAGCACATAGCAAGGCCTTCTCCCTGACCCTGCCCGTCTCCTTGCATCCATGAGGTGTAGCCAGCAGTTCTAGTAAAATTTCAGGGCTCCTGTTGTCCAGAAATGTCTCGACAATGGCGATCATGTCAGGTTGACAAGCATTTATGAAATTGTATGGGATCTCACCAACATTGGTAATGAAGTCCCTAATGTTGGCAGATAGGATACTGATAGTTTGACAAGTCATATTTGTGTTCGTCTTGACTAAATAGGTGTGTGAGGTATTTGTCCTTTGTTTCGGCCCAACTTGGAAAATTAATTAGTCACACAGAAGCATGAAGGGAAGAGAGCCAGAATATGTTCGAGAGGGGGGACTGGGTTAGGAGTGGTAGAACGGGAAGGGATAAGTAGTATTGTAGTGGTAATGGTATTAGCAGGAGTGGTGGCAACAGCAGCCACTTCACTATCGCTGCCACCACAACCACCAAAACCACAGCAAAGTTAGTGAAGAAGTAGTAGTAGTAATAGTGGAGGTAGTCTATAAGAATAGAACAGGAGAGCTAATGGCCCATAGGGGTAGACCAAAACTTTGAGTTACAGAACTCACCTAGCAACAGTTAGACAACTTTATTCCGAAACGTTTCGCCTACACAGTAGGCTTCTTCAGTCGAATACAGAAAGTAGGCAGGAACAGTAGAGATGTGAAGACGATGTAATCAGTCCATCACCCTTAAAGTGATGGACTGATTACATCGTCTTCACATCTCTACTGTTCCTGCCTACTTTCTGTATTCGACTGAAGAAGCCTACTGTGTAGGCGAAACGTTTCGGAATAAAGTTGTCTAACTGTTGCATATGTGTCTTACCTAACAATCTGTCGGTATTGTATACCATTTTAATGTTCAGAACTCACCTAGGCAAAAGACGGGAAAGGCAATGAAAATATTAGAAAGGTGAAGAGGTGAGGAGAGTAGGAGATAAAGATCAGGTTAAGTCATGAGTGTTCTGAAATTTAGGGCATTTGTCAGTGTAATGAGAGAGGAAGGCACCTATAGAGACAAAACCAGGACTAAGATTCATATTAGGAATGTTGTCTTTTTGGGAGGCTGCAACAAGATGGTATCTGTGAAGGCTAGAAGGGTACATAGTTTTGGTAAAGGACGAGTTAATAGGATGACTGTTATATCTAACATGACAGTAAAGAGCATTGTTAGTGTTGGTACAGATAACACTTTTGTGCTGTTAAACCCTTTCAGGGTCCATCCCATAGATCTACGGCTTTGAAGCCAGAGTCCAGACCGTAGATCTATGCCATGAGCTCAGCTCACTCAGATAACCTGTGAGTGGTAAATTTGGGCCTAGATATGAGAGAAGACAACTATGTGGTAAGTGTGCACCACATAAAACAAATCCTTCAGCACACAGTGCATAATGAGAGAAAAAACTGCGACTGTAATTTTGGATTAAAATGGCTACTTTCCGATGTTTTTTCGTGTGTTTTTAACAGTTATATTTGCGATTTCTTGGTCTCATTTGATAGAATGGAAGATATATTACAGAAATAGAGATGATTTTGATTGGTTTTAGTACTGAAAAGGGCTTGAAACTGAGCTCAGAGTAGAAAAATGTTCAATTTTTGCTGATGTTCAAGAGTAAACAAATGTTGTCACGAGTCTAATATGCGTCAGCTGGTCAGTAAATCTTCTGTTTTTTGGTGTGAATAAAAATTCATTGTGCATAAAAAATCACAATGGAATTCATTTGTAAAGCCTGAAAACATAACTGATGAGCAGAGGAAATGTTAGTCTAGGGCCAGGAATGTCTGCATTGTTTTGAAATTGGAATATTTTGAACTTTGTGTTAAATTGGCCAAATTACCAATTTCTAATCACTTTATTGGGTAGTTGAAACAGTTGACTGGGTGATTTCTTGTGATCAGTCAATAAAATAGAAGTAATACTAGGGAAATAGCTAAGAATTTGGTCGCCTGGAATAATGTAATTGGCCCAAAATGGGAGTCAAAGTTGGCAAAACTGCTGATGCGTAAATATCGCTGATGCATCAAAATTCACAAGAGCGTAATTTGTAAATTTTCCATCAAATTTCATTCTTTTTGCTTTATTACCTTCAGAAAATGATTCTCTACCATTTCATAAGAAAAAAATAACAAATTTTTTTTTGAAAATTCTTGGACCATGGCTGTCACTCTTGAGTTTGGCCTCTGGACCCTGAAAGGGTTAAGTCTGTTGGAGAGTGACTAGTTTCTCCATGTTATTAGAGAGGACAAGAGGAGCAACAGTGGCAGGAGAAGTACAAACTAGATTACTATTAGTTAATAGTTCAAGTACGACTGAAACATCTTAATTTTGTCTTCTAAGTGTGGGTTATTTGCATATTGTTCCAGTCATGGTATTATGCAATTTTGTTCTTGAAGCTTTTTAAAATATTGCTCCTAAAATCAACTTTTTTTAAGTGGAATACATATTAAAACATTTTCTCTCCTTGATATTTTAATATCGGCCTACTTTTTTTTGCAGGGTAATCCGTGTACACACCCGATCATAATATTACGTGACGTTGCATACACACACATGAGAAGTCTACTAGAATTCATGTATGCAGGAGAGGTTAACATCTCTCAAGTTCATCTGGGTGCCTTCCTACACACTGCCGAAGCTCTTAAGATCAGAGGTTTAGCAGAGTCATCTGATGACCGTAAAGACCAGGTGAGTTACTCCACATGTGAATGTTCTGCTAGGCTGATTTCATTTTCTTAACATTGCAGAACAAGCCACATGGGGATGGAAATCTTTAGCTCTAGATCTTTCATGCTTATGTGTCGTCAGGAACTATGCAGTGTTGCAAGGCAGCAACAGATAGGAGGGGAAATTCTCTAAGGCAAGGAAGAAGGTATCAGTGGAGGTCCATGACCTACTGTGACAAGGGCCATCATTGATACCTTCTGCCTTGCCTCAGAGAATTTCCTCTATCTGTTGCTGTCTTGCAACATTGCATAGCTCCTGATGCATGAGAATGTGAAAGATCTAGAGATTTTCATCCCCATGTGGCTTGTTCTGTATTGTTAAGATCACCTGTTCACAATTTTATTGCATTTCCTTGACACATTTGATTACTTGTATCATTACAAGAGCAGAGCCATGGTCATTGTGTCTTGTCTTTAATGTTTAGTTTGTCATATGCATTTTTAATTACTTTTCTAGTGATTTTATTACTGTTATCCTCCTCATAGATCTTCCAGCTGTTTACTACTATGAATATTTTTCGATATTCTTCAGTCACTGCATTTTCTTAATTCACAGTTGTGGCTTCTTGCTTGCCTTATTGATGTTACTAAAAAAAAAAAATGTCTTCCATATTTTCATTGTATTTTAAATATAATCATGTGTGAAATTACATCTTTTTTTTCCCTATTTACAAGTGAGGGCTTCATCCTGTGTACCATATTTGTAATTCATTGTTTCTTTTGTCTGGGATCTGTTTTGTAACATGTCTTAATTTTTTTTCTATTTATTGTGTGGCCATCAATTCACAGCTGCATGCTTTACTATTATTATTAGTCTAAATTATGTTGTAAATTTATTTAAACATTTCACCATCCTTTTACTATATCTGGAAGCTATTTTAGAATTTGCTAGCACAGTTTAAGTATGCATTTGTTTATTTTAGCCATATACAAAGCTATCACTGTAAATATAAGTTAAATTCCATTACTCAATTGTCAGCTCTACTTGCTTAATTTATACCTTATGAATCATACAGGGTTAGCATTTGCTTTTAAATACAGCAGTCCCTTTGAGTTACAGTATTTATCCATTCCAGAAGACTTACTGAATCTCAAAAATATCGTAACCCTAACCCCAAAATGCGTGGTTATATGGTAATTTGTTCCACGATGCCAGAACACTCCCAGCCTTCCCTTGGATTCATTTTGTTGTTTAAACACTGGGGTTTTCTGAGAGGTGGACAATCATAGGCTGCAGCTTGAAATATACAGAGGCATTGGCAACCAGTAGCAGTAAGCCTCTCTCATAGGCTTATACCCATGCAAAGTGATAGGATAGGGCAGGGTAGGCAGGACATGTAGGGCAAGGAAGAGCTGACAAGCAGGTAGTGACAAGCAGGTACTGACAGGCAGGCAGATCGCTGCTTCCTCCCACCACCACCCCTCCCTCCCTCCCGCTACTGCCCCTCCCTCCAACCACTGCCCCTCCCTCCGATCACTGCCCCTCCCTCCGATCACTGCCCCTCCCTCCGATCACTGCCCCTCCCTCTCACCACCTCCCCTCCCACCACTGCCCTTCCCACTCACCTCCAACACATCCTCCACCATTTAAGACATTTTCATCACTTTGTCTCTGGGCTGAGAACCATCCGCATGTGCCGACCATAGACTGTCATGAATATGTCATATCTCAATTTTTTCATTGCAGCTCAAAACCTTTCAAGTACTATAAAATATTTAGGCACTGTTATTTTGATGACAGGAACTATTTTTCTTTTCAGGGAGGGCTGAACAGCATCTCTCCTCTGTCAGCCTTGAAGTCATCACTAAGTGGGCTAGGAAATATGACAATGGGTGGCTTGACTGCACCTTCTATTCTAGAAAGACCTTTGGTGCCCCAGCTCTTACCGCACCCAACAGACAAGCAAGGCAACCCCCTCACCACCCCACACCATTTGCCCCCCCACTTGGTTCCTCCTCCCCTTTCCTTGGCAGGCGGTGGTACCCTCCCGACACCATCTCAAGGGGTGACTGGTGGCCCTCCAAGTAGCAGCAGCAGTAGTAGTAACAGTACTAACTGCAGTGCCACGGGCATTCCTCAAGGGCCTCTTCCTCTCACTGTAGTATCTCAAGCCAGTGAAAGACTACCCCGCCCAGAAGCACTAGAACGTACCCCTTCCCCGCCCCCTCCCTTGCCGCCCTGTAAACGCCTTCGTTTGGAAAGGAAAGGCATGTTAGATCCTCCTGAAAAAAACAACCATGGAGACTCTACCAATGGCACTGCCTCCTCCACCATAACCACCACCCCAACCACTATGCCGGCTGATGACACCATTCACACTGTGCTCAAGGTAAATTTGTAGATTTATTTATTTAGAAGATCATTTTTTTATTATGCTGAATTGGATGAAAACTAAAGAATATTTTAGTTCCGTATTTCATAATAAGTAAACTAAAATTCTGGAAACTGTATTATAACATGCATAAGTTAATCTAACGATTTATTTTTATAAGACTAGGGTCTTGTAAAGTTAACAGTAGATTATAAATTACAGTGTAACCTTGACTTATGAGTTTAATCCGTTCCAGGAGCTAGCTCGTAACTCAATTTACTCGTATATCAAATTAATTTTCCTCATTTAAGTTAATTGAAAAGCCATTAATCCGTTCCTGAACTCTGGAGAGCCAAGAAAAAATGCTTGAATATGACACTATTATCAACTGTACGGCTTATTCTTCTATCATAATTATATTGTTTGTCATATTAGATGAATTAACACAGAAACATGATATATACTCTAGAATTAATAAAATAGGCCATAATATGGTGGCAGACGCAGAAGCATTTGCCATTTCCTGTGTGCATATACTGAGAGTATTTTCTCATGCTCTTATTGTAAGAGAAAATGGAGTATTTTTGAGGCTAACTGCAGTAGATCACTAGTTTTCTAAAGAAAACACTGAAAATATCTTTTTTTTTTTTTTAACAAGTCTGCCGTCTCCCAGTGAAGCAGGGTGACCCAAAAAGAAAGAAAATCCCCAAAAAGAAAATACTTCCATCATCATTCAACACTCGCCTCACTCACACATAATTACTCTTTTTGCAGAGGTGCTCAGAATACGTATAAATATACACGACATATCCCTCCAAACTGCCAATATCCCAAACCCCTCTTTTAAAGTGCAGGCATTGTACTTCCCATTTCCAGGATTCAAGTCCGGCTATATAAAAATAACCGGTTTCCCTGAATCCCTTCACTAAATATTACCCTGCTCACACTCCAACAGATCGTCAGGTCCCAAGTACCATTCGTCTCCATTCACTCCTATCGAACACGCTCATGCACGCCTGCTGGAAGTCCAAGCCCCTCGCCCACAAAACCTCCCTTACCCCTTCCTTCCAACCTTCTCAAGGACGACCCCTACCCTGCCTTCCTTCTCCTACAGATTTAAATGCTCTCCATGTCATTCTATTTTGATCCATTCTTTCTAAATGACCAAACCACCTCAACAACCCCTCTTCAGCCCTCTGACTAATACTTTTATTAACTCCACACCTTCTCCTAATTTCCACACTGCGAATTTTCTGCATAATATTTACACCACACATTGCCCTTAGACGTCTAAGGACGTCTCCACTGCCTCCAACCGCCTCCTCGCTGCTGCATTCACAATCCAAGCTTCACACCCATATAAGAGTGTTGGTACTACTATACTTTCATACAATCCCTTCTTTGCCTCCATAAATAACGTTTTTTGACTCCACATATACCTCAACGCACCACTCACCTTTTTTCCTTCATCAATTCTATGATTAACCTCATCCTTCATAAATCCATCCGCCAACACATCAACTCCCAAGTATCTGAAAACATTCACTTCCATACTCCTCCTCCCCAATTTTATATCCATTTTTTCTTTATCTAAATCATTTGATACCCTCATCACCTTACTCTTTTCGATGTTCACTTTCAACTTTCTACCTTTACACACACTCCCAAGCTCATCCACTAACCTTTGCAATTTTTCTTTAGAATCTCCCATATGCACAGTATCATCAGCAAAAAGTAACTGTGTCAGTTCCCATTTTGTATTTGATTCCCCATAATTTAATCCCACCCCTCTCCCGAACACCCTAGCATTTACTTCTTTTACAACCCCATCTATAAATATATTAAACAACCATGGTGACATTACACATCCCTGTATAAGACCTACTTTTACTGGGATGTAGTCTCCCTCTCTTCTACACACCCTAACCTGAGCCTCACTGTCTTCATAAAAACTCTTTACAGCATTTAGTAACTTACCACCTATTCCATATACTTGCAACATCTGCCACATTGCTCCTCTATCCACTCTATCATATGCCTTTTCTAAATCCATAAATGCAATAAAAACTTCCCTACCTTTATCTAAATACTGTTCACATATATGCTTCAATGTAAACACTTGATCTACACATCCTCTACCCACTCTGAAACCTCCTTGCTCGTCCGCAATCCTACAATCTGTCTTACCTCTAATTCTTTCAATGATAACCCTACCGTATGCTTTTTCCTGGTATACTCAATAAACTTATTCCTCTGTAATTTTTACAATCTCTTTTGTCCCCTTTCCCTTTATATAAAGGGACTATACATGCTCTCCGCCAATCCCTAGGTACCTTCCCCTCTTTCATACATTTATTAAACAAAAATACCAACCACTCCAACACTTTATCCCCCGCCGCTTTTAACATTTCTGTCATGATCCTGTCAGTTCCAGCTGCTTTACCCCCTTTCATTCTACGTAGTGCCTCGTGTACCTCCCCCACACTTACATTTTGCTCTTCTTCGCTCCTAAAAGATGGTATACCTCCCTGGTCAGTGCATGAAATTACCACCTCCCTTTCTTCCTCAACATTTAAAAGTTCCTCAAAATATTCTCGCCATCTACCTAATACCGCCCTCTCCCCATCTACTAACTCCCCTACTCTGTTTTTAACTGACAATTCTGTACTTTCCCTAGGCTTTCTTAACTTGTTTAACTCACTCCAAAAATTTTTCTTATTTTCATTAAAATTTCTTGACAGTGCCTCTCCCACTCTTATCATCTGCTCTCCTTTTGCACTCTCACCACTCTTTTTCACCTTTCTTTTACTCTCCATATACTCTGCTCTTCTTATAACACTTCTGCTTTGTAAAAACCTCTCATAAGCTAACTTTTTCTCTTTTATCACACCCTTTACTTCATCATTCCACCAATCACTCCTCTTTCCTCCTGCCCCCACCCTCCTATAACTGCAAACTTCTGCCCCACATTCTAATACTGCATTTTTAAAACTCATCCAACCCTCTTCAAACCCCCCACTACTCATCTTTGCACTAGCCCACCTTTCTGCCAATAGTCGCTTATATCTCACCTGAACTTCCTCCTCCCTTAGTTTATACACTTTCACTTCCCTCCTACTTGTTGTTGCCACCTTTCTCTTGTCCCATCTACCTCTTACTCTAACTGTAGCTACAACTAAATAATGATCCGATATATCAGTTGCCCCTCTATAAACATGTACATCCTGGAGCCTACCCATTAACCTTTTATCCACCAATACATAATCTAACAATACACAAATAACCCGCACATAAAAGAGAGAAGCATACGACGACGTTTCAGTCCGACTTGGACCATTTACAAAGTCACACTAACCAGAAGTGGAGCAGGACGGCTATATATAGGCAGGAAGAGGTGGTGGTAGTAGAAGTAGTACAAGAATGGTATATAATACCGACAAGATGAAATTAAGACACCTGCGCAACACCCGGGCATCTCTATCGTAGACGTTTCGCCATCCAGCCAGCCACTGGATGGCTGGATGGCGAAACGTCCACAACAAAGACATCCAGACGCCGCACATGTGTCTTAATTTCATCAGTAGTAGTAGTAGTAGTAGTAGTAGTAGTAGTAGTAGTAGTAGAAGAGGTAGTGGTAGAAGTGGGGAATAAGGAGGACAAGCCAGTCAAATACAAAGGAAGGGGAGCACTGCAAGGGAGCTAGGTGCCCACAGAGGGAGAGCAAGTGCACAGAGGTGCGTGAAAGGGGAAGTGGTGAAATAAATGAAGCAGGAACAGAAACACGAGACAAGAGAGAAAGACAACCCAGAGGAGAAAAAGGAAAGAGGAAAGGGGAAGAGGGAGAAGAAGAAAAAGAAAAAGAAAAAAGAAAAAATGAGGAGTCAGGTTAAGTCACGGGTGTTATGAAGTTTGGAGCATTTTACAATGTAGTGGGAGAGGAAGGCATCTACAGAGATGAAGCCAGGGCTAAGATTCATACAAGGAAAGTTGTGTATTAGAGAGGATTCAACTAGACGGCGACTGTTCGAGTTGGAAGTAGGGAAGACAGTTTTAGCAGAAGACCAGTCAATAGGATGGCTATGATCTCTGACGTGACAGAAAAGAGCATTGTTAGTGTCGGCAAGCCTAACACTATTTTTGTGCTCCCTAAGTCTGTCAGAAAGGGATCGACCAGTTTCTCCGAAGTATTGAAGAGGACAGGAGGAGCAAGAAATAGAGTAGACACCAGGAACATCTGTAGAGGGAGGAGAGGTATGAACGAGATTAGTGCGAAGAGTGTTAGTCTGGCGGAAGGTAAGCTTGATGTCTAAGGGACAGAGAGAATTGTTGAGATTAGAAAGATCGGAAATGTAGGGAAGGCAGAGGATAGAAGAGTTCCCAGGAGTAGAGAGTTTGGGAGAGAAGAAATTACGTTTAGCACGTGAGAGGGCAGAGTCAGTGAAATGGGAAGGGTAGCCAAGACGGGAAAACGAATTATGAAGAGTGGAAATTTCCAGTCTCTTCCAACCTTTTCTTGAAGCTCTTAATAATCTTGCCCCTTCCATTAAGTTCAAAGCTGAATGGGAATCTAATTCCTTGCTTCCTTTCCTTAATAATGTCCATGTCCACCGCTCAGATGCAGGTTTTTCCTTTTCCGTTTACCGAAAACCTATGCACAGTGGCATGTACATTCACTACTTTTCCTATCATGCTTCCCCTGTCAAGAAAAGTGTTCTTATCTCCCTCTTTCTCCGTGCCCTCCGCATCTGTGATCCTCAGTTCCTTCCAGCAGAAATTTCCACTCTTCATAATTCATTTTCCCGTCTTGGCTACCCTTCCCATTTCATTGACTCTGCCCTCTCATGTGCTAAATGCAATTTCTTCTCTCCCAAACTCTCTACTCCTGGGAACTCTTCTATCTTCTGCCTTCCCTACATTTCCGGTCTTTCTAATCTCAACAATTCTCTCCGACCCTTAGGCATCAAGCTTACCTTCCGATAGACTAACACTCTTTGCACTAATCTCGTTCATACCTCTCC